AGTGGCGTGCAGGCCACCTCATAGGCACTCAATAAACGGGCTGCTATTGTCATCTGCTGCCACCAGCTGCCATGAGATAAGGGCCAGCCTTCCATTTTAACAAGAAGGAACAAGAGAAGCTCAGAGCGGGGCGATGGCTGATCAGGGGGGCACTGTTGAGACAGGGGTGCTGGCCTAGCCTCAGAGGAAGTGGGTGTAGGTGTGACTCCCTGGGGCCACCCCTCTCCTGTGGTCACCAGCTAACATACACTTCATGTCTGCATAGCACCTTCCAAGTCCCAGAGCGTGCTTTTGGGTACCTGCTGTCACAAACCTCTCCGCAACCTGAGACCCTGGCTGGGCCCGGCATAGACTGACACCCCCACTTAGAGCTGCATGAACCAAGCCAAGTCACCCTCGTGAGGCCTTGGATTTCATTTCTGTTGCCTAAGCCTCTTCCTGGAGGTGCTACACCGAGTGCATGTGGAAGTGTCCTTCCAGCTGCACGATGCACAGTCACGCCACGTTTTGCCAATGAGGGAACTAAGGCTCGAAGATATAAACTCAAAAAGCTTTGTCCAAGGTCCGAGGCTTAGGCAAGCATGAATCTGGGAAGTACCCAGCTCTTCCAAAGTCCTGACCTTTCTTTTCTTTCTTTAAATAGGTTTATGGAATATAACTCACATGCCATAAAATTCACCCCTTTAAACTGTATGGTTCAGGGGCACCTAGGAGACACAGTGAGTTAAGTACCTGCCTTCGGCTCAGGTCATGATCCCAGGGTCCTGGGATGGAGCCCCCGCATCAGATTCCTGGCTCAGCGGGGAGCCTGCCTCTCCCTCTCCCTCTGCCGCTCCCCCTGCTTGTGCACTCTCTCTCTCTCTCTTTCTCTCTCTCTCATTCTCTCTGCCTCTCAAATAAATAGAATCTTAAAAAAAAAAAAAAACAAACCTGTATGGTTCAATGGCCTTTAGTGTATCCACAGAGTTGTACATCGTCAATATAATCTAATTTTAGAATATTCTTATTATCCCAAATGCAAACCCCGTTCCAGTCAGCCACCATTCTTCACTCCTGCTGACTCCCCCTGCTCCAGGCAACCACTAAACTACCGTCTCTCTCTCTCTCTATGGATTTGCCTAGTCGGTGCATTTTGTGCAAGGGAATGAGGCTGTGTGGTCTTTTGTGGCCAGTTTCTTTCATTTAGCATGATGCTCTTAAGGCTCATGTTTAGCACAATTCAAAACCTCATTCCTTTTTATGACGGAATACTATTCCATGGTGTGGATATTTTGTTTGTCCACTCATCAGCTCATGGACATTTGGGAGACACCCACCTCTTCATTGTCACAAACAATCCTGCCACCAGCATTCAGGGACTAGTTGTGTGAGGACATATGTTTTCAGTTCTCTTGGGCAGACTACCAGGAGTGGAGCTGCTGAGTCACTTGGCTTTACTGTACTATTTCTCAGAATGTGTGATATCAAGGGCATTTTCCAAACTTCTTGGCCAGAAAGCCATATTCCACAATACATCTCAGAAGACTTTGGAAAACTCCGATTTAGCCCAACCCCCTCATTTTGGGGAACCAGAAGCCCAGACAGATTCAGCGACCTGTCAAGATAACACAGGAAGTGAGAGGTGAGGCCATCACAGGAAACCAGAAGAAATGTTAGTACTTGAGTGGCAAAGAGCATCTTAAGCATGAAGGGTACTAAATAAATCACAAAGGAAAAGAAAGATATACGTGGTCGCACACATAAACACTTAAACTACAGAACCTGAAGCCACATATAAACAAAATCAGCAAGGAAGCAATAATAACTACCGTGCCCAGACCCTGGCTACCTACGAGGATAGGGGTGCTAACAATTCTAATACCCGGTCCTCACTCAGAGATTGTTAAGTTTTAGAAGCTCTCAGGTGATTCCAATGTGATCTAGTATTAAAAATTAGAAGACCCAGTGTTGATATAACAAAGACTTCTTAAAATATGAGTAAGAAAAAGTCCTATGTTCCAGTAGAAGAATGGGCAAAAGACAAACATATTATTTGTTGGAGAAAAAAAGACAAGAAATACCAAAGAAAATTCAACTTCACTAATAGCCAAAGAAACGGAAATAAGACATTTATTAGACACATACCATACTCCACATAGCTTGCAATATCGTATTTAAGCCTGGCAACAATTCCTCGATGTCTTCCCACCCTACAGATGTACAGATGAAGAAATCTGAGGCCATGGAGCATGTCCAAGGTCATAGAGCCTGCAGTGGACAGGGCCATAACCATACCCAGCAAACCGCCCCCACCCCCCGCCCCTGAACTTGCACTTGAAACAGCATACCATGCTTAATCTCCCCAGCAAGGTTTTTTTTTTTTTAACCCACCAAATGGAAAACAATCTGGAAATGCTACCTCTCTGTGTTGAAGAGGACAAAGGGAAAGGAGGGTTTTTCCAACCTCTCTGGAAAACTGTTTGGCCATAGGTAGAGCCAGTCTTAACAGTGCTGAGGCCCTTTGACCCCGGACTTCCACCTCTAGTAACCTGTTCTGAGGAGTAAGTACAGATGAAGACACGGGATATTCCAGGCAAAGTAGAGTCCTAACTGCATTTCACAAGACGAGAAAGCTGGGGCTCAGGAGGGTCAGTACTTTGCCAAGGTGACCTGGGTCGCAAAACAAGGGGTTGCCATGCAGGTTCAGAGGCCTAGTGGTGTGGATGGGCATCTCCCATCTACTATGGTCCAGGACTCAGCAGACCATCCAGGGGCATGCACAGCTCCTGGCACAGACAGTGTGCAGACCTGCTCCATGGGCAGCGCCAACCAGGGAGCACGTGGATGCTCGGGCAAGGATGACTCCCCACACTGACTCCTTCTCCCCAAGGATCCCTGAACTGGAGGCCCCAATGGACTCAACCTCTACCTCTCACACAGGCCCACCTGAACCTTACCTGCCCTCCCAAAGTCACCAGGCAGGGTCATCCCAACTCCTCCTGGGGCCTAATTCTTTATCTGGCCTCCTGTCTCACCAGAGCTATTGGCAACTACTGTCTCACTATCTACAACAGCGTGTGTATGACACAAAATGGCTTCTCAGTAAATACTCGAATAAGTGAATGTGATTAAATTTGGATTTGCAAAAACAAAACAAAACAAAAAAAAGCAACATTTTCTCCTCTCAAGACTCTTCAGTTTCGCAAATGAATATAGATGACTTCCATAACTTTTGACTCTGAAAAGAGCTTTAAAACCTGCATGCTGTACTTTTTTTTTCTTAATTGAGGTGAAATTCACATAACATAAAGTTAGCCATTTAAAAATGTACAGTTCAGTGGCATTTAGCAGATTTCCAATATTGTGCAACTCCCACCCCTATCAAGTTTCAAAACATATTCTCCTTCACAAAAGGAAACCCTGTGTCTATTGGGCCGGCACTCCTCATTCTCCTCTGCCCCAGCCCCTGGCAACCACCAATGCGCTATCTCTATAGACTTCACTACTCTGAATATTCCAAATAAAATGAAGCATATGATAAAAAAAGAAAAACGTGCAAAATGACACTGTCTCCTTTGTATTCCTGTTGTGATGATCCTAATCCTCCCAGAAGCCATGGATGGTCCTAGCGGGGAAAGACACAGAAGAGGTGAAGGGAAAGGCCACAGATATAGCTCAACACATTTTCTTCCTGCATAAGAGGCTTATTGTTATCACTATTTACCCAAGGGTGGCAGTGAAGATGCCCCCAACTCCTCACTGAATGCTCGGTAGGCGCTACCCCTCAGCAGTTTTTGGAGTCCTGCAAGACAGAGTCCTTGGCTTGTTGCTAACCTCATCGCCAGCACCTGACCCTGGCCCAGGGGTGCTGTTTGATCACCTGAGATCAGTGACAGAAAAAGTTGAATGTTTAATGATTATTAGCTATCAATCTTCAGTGACCCTTGCCCAGAGCTGTGTCGGCTGCAGGATGGTGGCATCAAGCACTGGCTTGAGGAACAGATCCTTGAGGCACAGACATGCAGAACAGAGAGGCCCCGTGCCTGGAGGTTCATGACCTGGTTTCCAAGTTATGTGACCTTCAGAAGTCCCTTCACCTCCCTGAGTCAGGCTCCTCATCCATAAAATGGCTGCAATAATAGATTGGGTAGGCAAGAAGGTATTCTGAGTAAGGTGACCTGGCTTCACCTCGATTCTGGCCTTTCAGGGCCTGCCTGCGACAGGCCAGAGTGTAGATATGTGGCAAATATAGGCCTTCTGGGTCCCTTCAGATTACATACTGCTTCCCCTTCAGTATCCATAGTGTAGAGTCCAAAATTAGATGATACTGTATGGCCATGAGCCGGGACACTGGCAATCCGGGTCTCGGGCCGCTGTGCCTCTGCCTTGTCTGCAAGTGCTGCACACAGCTCGGTGGGGTCTCCTGGGGACAGCTGTGGTCACTGCCCCACTCCTGGGCCTGCCTGGGCCCCAGTGGTGGGCACCCCTCTGGGCTAACCTAGCAGATGGTGCACTCCCAGCCCTCCCTACCTGCCCCTCCTTCCCCATTCTGTCACCAAGGTGATGTTGGACATTGATGTGCAAAAGTGGAAAGCAGGTGCCTGAGCTCTCCCAGATCCATTAGTTGCTAAGTGGGAAGTTGCCCTGCAGCCTGGAGCAAGAGGTGCAGGTGGACACAGTGGTCTCTGGGGAGGGCAGCTCCCTCAGAGCAGACTTGGTGGCCTCTGGGTTTGCTGGCTTAGTTGGGTCCCCACATGTGCCAGCTGCCCTGGCTCACTTGGAAGTGTCCAGCCAGCCTGAAGGGGACACCTGGGGGGAGAGATCTGCTCCACAGGATCTAGAATTCATTTTTGAACACATGCAATGTTCCAGACATGAGCCTGACCCTTAAAACGACCAAGAAGGAGGCTGATGATAGGACTTGCGGCAGATGCTTGTCTTCGCACGAACAAGTTCACCGGATTCTCCCTAAAGAACTGACAAATGGAACTCAGATTACTTTGGTTACAGCAAGCGTTTATTGGTTATGTCTTATGTCTTACATGACAGGAACGACCCTAGACGATTTCCTAACAGCCCTCAGAGGTGAGAACTATTTTTATCTCTCTTCCAGATAAGGAAATTGAAACCCCAAGAGGTTAAAGAACTTGCCCATGACCATGGTTGTCAAAGGTCAGTGCTGGAAGGAAGCCCCGTGATCGCTGGTCTGGGTCTCGTCTTTTCCAGATGTGGAAAAGGAAGCCCTGGGAACAGACAGGTTTTGCCCAAGGTCATTCTGAGCTGGGAGGCAGGTGGCCAGTGGAGAGGGAAGGTCCCCGGGGCCAGCAGGCTGGCGGTCGGGCTTGGGCACCCAGGATCTGCCCGGGAGCCCCAGACACTGGGAGAGCCCTTTGGTGAGTGAGGATCCCCGGGATCCACACGCCCTCTTTTACTTGGATCACAACAACTTTGCGGCCTTTGAGCTGGCACATGGCCGCTGTGCCAGAAACTCCACTTCCCATGTTCCTGTGCGGTGGACGTGGCCACGTGGCCAAGCTCAAGCTGACCAAAGTGAACAGAAAGACCCCTGGGTCCCTTGCTGAAAACAGCTGCAGGCCTGCAAGCCCTCCCTCCCCTCCCCGCTGTCTAGGAGATGGTGACATGTGGGGCACTTGCCTTGGACACCCGGGTATGGAGGTCTGGTGTGGAGGGTGTGGCACCGCTGCCCCCCTACTGGTCCCTGGGTGGCCTCAGCCTCGTGGGGTCCTGTGAGTGATGAGCTAGACCACTGGCATGTCCATCTCAGGAGGGGTCTGTGCCGCTTCTGCCCTGAACTGGCGCCAGGCTCACACCCAACCACAGGGGCCAGTCTCAACCTCCCCCCGGCCCAGAAGGTGGAGAGCCTTGGGGAGCCGCAGGGATGGCTGCACAGCTTCCTCTGCAGCAATGCCTGGGACCCGTCCTGAGAAGAACTGTCCTTGACCGCCTTGAGTCCAAAACCGTGGACACTGGGGCAGCAGCTCAGAGGCTGGCCCACCGGTCGGGCAGCAAGTGGAAAGGCCTCTGGGGTTCCCTGACATGCTCCAGAAGCTCCAGGCAGAGCGCAGGGCTGCGAGCTCTTCAGCCTCTGCCTTCCCAGCGGCTGATGGGGACTGGCCGGGAAACTAAGCTCAGCCCCCAGGTGATGAGGAGGGCAAGTAAAGCCATGAAAGGCAGAAGCCTCCGTCCTGAGGTGCACCTGCCTGGGCCGAGGCACCTTCCTTCCCGGTCCAGATGCAGCGGGATTCCCTTCTCTGGCTTCTTCGCTGCTTATCTTCGATACTTCTAATTCGATCCCACGGGCACTGATTGAGCGCCTGCCCAGTGCCAGGCACTTTTCTAGGCTCTTTTGGGTGACAGGAGTGGACCAAGCACACCTCCTGCCCTTAATGGAGTGTCTGGCTTGGAAGGACCGAGAAATGAGTACCCAAGGGATGGCCCACCCAAGGGGAAACAGGCGCTGGCGGACAAGGCCAGGAGCAGCCCATGCTTCCGGGGAGCACTGGGGGAGAGGCAGTGATTCTGCCCCCCAAAGGTACAGGTGCAGGTGCAGGTCGCGGGGGAGGGGGGCAGGATGGGGGGGCATTCAGAAGATTTCCTCAAGAGGTGACAAGTGAGCAAGGCATGAATGATGAGCAGTACCCCAAAAGGGTTTGGGGAGTCCAGGTGGAGGGACCTGTCTGAGCAGGGTATGAAGGCCAGGCTTCGGGTCACGGAGGCAGAGCCAGGAAGGCAGGGACCGTCATCCACCAGGTGGCTGCCTCTCATTTTCAGCTTAGTGAGAGCTGAGCCTCCCCTATGCCTTGACACCAAGGAGCTGCGCAAACCTCACTGTTCTCTTGCTATTTACCTTGGAGAGCCATTTATCTCTATGGGCCTCAGCTTCCCAGTCCGTGAATGAGGGGCACTGGGCAGGCTAACCAGCCAAGGAGCCACCACAGGAGGAAGCTGTGTGGGAGGCGTGTCTGTTGTCTTTGGGGACTCAGGTGCCAGGCTCTGCTCTGCCCCAAGGGACTCTGGCACCTGTTAGGCTGGCTGCCTGGCTCCCCGAGGTCCCACCCCTGGGGCCTGGGGCTCTCAGTTCTCTCTAAAGGTGAAGTGCTGACATCAGCCAGGCCCCTGTGGACATTTCCCACCAGCCCTTCCTCCTCTTCCCAGGCACAGATGACAAATGTGCCCTGGCAGCTGCAGAGAGAAAGGGCCTTTGATGAAGGGGGCTGGGAGGGGCTTGGTTTTATTTGTTGACTGTAAAAATGTCAGCTTCTTTGGGCAGCTTCTTGAATCAATATTTGCTGTTCTGAGGCTGAGTTCAAATGCTCAGTAATCCACTCGGCCTGGCTTCTTCCTCCCTCACCTCACTCACACCCACAAATGTTTGGCAGGGCCCCTCGCTGCCCGGGATGAAGCCTGCCCCATACCCTCCCACCCCAGCCCTCAGAGGGGCTGCCCCTGGAGCTCTGCGCTCCGAAGGAAGGGTTCCTGGAGAAAGGATTTCTCTGCGTTTCATTTTGTTCATCTGCAAAACGGGCAGAATAACATCTGCGGGGCGCTGTAAGTTCAAATAAAAGCAAGGCTGTACAAGTTTTCAGTAACTGTCAAGCCACGCACCATACCAGTGACCCACAATCACGACAGTGATGATGGTGAAAGCCATCAGAGGACCCAAGATTTCCAGGTGTTGCTGTTGGGTGACCTGACAGCAGATGGTGCAGTGCTTTCCTTAGGAACCTCCGCACTGGCTGCCAGGTCTCAGTCTCCAGCAGCCGCCCACGTAGGCTTCTTTCTGTAAGGCCCCCAGAATGTTAGTGAAGAAACCTGGGGACTCCGAAGGTAGATGGATCCTTGATTCACCACTTGGTGCGGTGTGCCTCTTGGCCAGCTCCTTAGCCTCTCTGATCCTCAGGTCCATCTGCAAGATGGAACAACAAGGTTTACCCTGCAGAGGTGTTGTGGGCCTTAGAAATAGCGCCCTTAAAACATCCAGGAGGGCACCTGGTGCTTACTGGGTGCTTCACAAGTGTTCTTTCTCCTGATGGTTGATGCCTCCCAGTTGAATACGATTCTGTCCCTCACATATGGTCCACACACTAAGAAATGCCATCCTGGGTACCAGGCTGAACAACATCATCCCAAGGTACCACGAGGCTCCTTTTCTGCCATATAAGAAGCTCCCACGATAGAGACCACTTTCAAGTTACTCTGCCCCCTGCCTTTGTTTGGTTTCTGATTGGGCTTGGCCACCAGTGTTGGCAAGAAGCTCGACACCTACAGTGTATAGGGCATGGCCATCCTCCTGGGGCAGGTGGAAGCCTTGGATCTGAGTGCCCTTTGGGTGAGGGATGCAGAGTGGATCTGACTCCTACAGCATCAATCCTGGGCTCGTGAACCTCATGGCAGAGAGCACAGGGCTGCATGGACTCCTCCTACCATTGCTACTGGCTGTGAAGCCCTGCCAAGGTGGCCGTTACCTCTGAGGAGGCATTTTGAGGGGAAAGTCCCAACCGCTGGAGGCAATAAAAAATGGTGCAGTTATTTCAGGAAACTGGAAGTTTCTTTAAAAGCCAACATTCATTCACCCTATTTTGATTATATAGTAAACAACAATACAGCCACATTGTTGCCCTTTATCGTAACCAGCATTTGAGATGCATTTTCTTTTTTTTTAAGGCTTTATTTATTTATTCATGAGAGACTCACAGAGAGAGGCACAGACACAGGCAGAGAGAAGCAGGCTCCTCATAGGGAGCCTGATGTAGGACTCAATCCCAGGACCAGCATCATACCCTGAGCCAAAGGCAGACGCTTAACCACTGAGCCACCCAGGAGTCCCTGAGATGCATTTTCAAATGCATTTTTGGAGACTGAAGTCACAGTGTTGGCTGAGTTGGTTAATTCAGTGAGATTTGAAAAAGAATTGTCTTCAATTTCCTATTTGCCTTCAATTTCCTATTGTCCCCAAAGGCAATCATTCTTCAAATATGTTAGTGTTTTCTTTTAATTTTTTTACCATTTAATTTCTCAGATTTTTCAAAACTCTAATTAGCTTCTCACTATAGAAGATGAGAATTTAGATCTTTTTAACCAGAACCACCACACATACCAATCATCTCTCTCCCAGCCATTCTTCCAGGGCAGCTCTAGCTCAATGTTTATTGGATATTTAGTATTCACAGTGTTGGACTACACCCTATTAATGGCTGAGCCATGTCTTCTACTATTACTAATTGCCATTTGTTTCATTACTTTGAGTTTTCATAGAAGTTGCTGGGTTAGTTATTTGTCTTCATCTTGGCCCAGATCCTTTAAAAAGTAGTCCGAAGGGGGATCCCTGGGTGGCGCAGCAGTTTGGCGCCTGCCTTTGGCCCAGGGCGCGATCCTGGAGACCCGGGATCGAATCCCACGTCAGGCTCCCGGTGCATGGAGCCTGCTTCTCCCTCTGCCTGTGTCTCTGCCTCTCTCTCTCTCTGTATGACTATCGTAAAAAAAAAAAAAAAAAAAAAAAAAAAGTAGTCCGAAGTACAGACTACACTGCATCAACTTTATTTGGGAGATGCAAATCTAGGTAAGCGAGGATGAGGAAAAAGGAAGGCAGGAAGGAAAGGTGGGAGGCAATGCAAAGTGATGTGTTAGTGAGCTTGATAGCACAAAAAGCCACCAGGGAACAGCAGGTTGCTGGACAGGTATGTTCTTCTGCACTTGTGAGTTCTACAGATGAGCTGACAGGTTAAAATTGTGCCCCAGTGTCCTCTATGGAAGAGAAGAAGAATAGAGAATTTATCTGCCCATGTGAATGGGCACATCACCCCATGGGAATCTATTCCCTTGCACTTCCAGGTTGCCTTATCTAACAGTGCCTTCACGGGCTGCCCACTTGGGATACCAGATCCCCCAACCTGGGATGTAGTGTTTCACCCAACACTGGGAGACTGGGTGCTTAGTCCCTCAATCACTCAAACACATCAGGTTCTCTATCAGTTTCACCTGCCTGGAAATCTAGCTCTGAATGCTTTTAACCTGCCGCACTACGGACTGACTGACACACAGCTGGTGTTATAAAATCTCCTTTCATTGTCAAGTTGGAGGTTTTCTTCCTGCCTCCATTAATATAGAACTTTGGGGGTGCCTGGGTAGCTCAGTTGGTTAAGCATCCAACTCTTGATTTCAGCTCAGGTCATGACCTCAGGGTCCTGAGATCTAGCTCAGCCTATCTTCTGGCTCCATGCTCCGCAGGAAATCTGCTTCTCTCCTTCTGCCCCTCCCCCCACTCATGCACGCATTCACTCTCTCTTTAAAATAAATAAATAAATCTTAACAAGAACAACAAAAAGATGGAACTCTGGTTTCCTGAATCTCACATTTCCTTCTTCTTGGTTTACACCATGTTTTGGTGGAAGACCTCTTCAGAAGTGAATAGTATGCATAGGGTGCATACTAGTTCCATTCTGACATTGGTATTAAGCCTCAGCCTTAAGAAGGCCAAAGAGCCAAATGCATACTCCAGCATAATGTCTGGCATCCATGAGTTCATGATAATCAATAATCATGTGACCTTGAGAGTTACCATCATATACAATTAGTGCAAAAATGTCAGCCAATTGCATATCTTATGCCATTCGGCTTAATGTTAATATTAAAATATTCAACTTTGAGAGTAATCATTTTAGACGTATTTTGGAGTGAGAATCTCTTTGTGTACTGTTATAGAATTTATTTAATTCTATAAATAAATCTATAATTATCCTATATATAACTCTATAATCCTATAAATAATAAATAAGTCAAATATAAATGTATATGTATTATTACAAAATCGAAATGTTACCATGATTAATTTTACATACAAAAAACAATTATTAAAAACAAATAGCTAAATACATAGGAAATATAATGCCAGTTGATATGAAGAGTAAGATAGAATGGGTTAGAAGGATAACTATAAGAAGAAATTTATGAACCCAAAGTGTCAAAAAAAAGGTAAATACTGCAAGAAAGAATAATACAGCATGACTCAGGTCATTGTAGAATAGCTTGATGTACTAGCACTCAAAACATTGACAAAATAAACTTTAGGAACTATATTTAGCTTTTGGTTATTTAATTCCACTTAGGCCAAAGGTATTTCAAGAATACTTGTTATGGCTTTTGAGGATGTATTTTGTTCCTTCAACATTTCATAAGAAGGAAAAAAACCCAAACCATGTACAACACCATCCACAGTAAATCATCTTCTATTTAAACATAACATATAAATAATGTATAAAAAAAGAACTGTTTTTAGAAAAAGAATGAGGCAAATAAAACACATGTTCTTTTCACTTACCAGTGACAGACATGTAAGAGTGCTTTAAGATAGTTTCATATAGTTCTGAGTCCTTGAAGAAAAATGTAAACAATATACTTGTTACAAGAACTGAATACACTGACATCAATTTTCAGTAATCGAAGATGATGTATTTTTGAGATTTCTTCAAGCAATGACTTCTAGGTTGGAAAAAAAAAACCTATGGTACTAAAAAACTTACTCCTAATTATCTGCTATGCATAAAAGGTAATATTGGTAACCCTTCTGATTTTAACATAATAATGCCATATTTATTTTGATTAGTATTTCTGTTTTGTTACTTTTAACATTTCTTATCCTTATATTTCAGTAGACTGACAGCATCATATAGCTTAATCTTTTTGTCTTTTAAAATCCTGGCTGATAATCCTTGCTTTTAATTAGGGTCTAGTTCATTTATATTTAATGTAGTTGTTGGCATATTTGGGTTTAAATCGATCATCTCATTATTTATTTTGTATTCATCTCAACTGATCTATGTGGCTTTTTCTCTCCTTTCTGTCTTTTGTTACTATATATATATATTTTTTTTTTAAATCAGGTTTTCCTATCTTTCCACTATCTTTCCCCCCCTTTTTTAAATTGCCCTTAGAACTTACGACAGGGGTCTTTAACTTATTGAAGTCTACCGTAAATTAGTACTTCTACTACTTCCCAGATATGATATAATACTGTGATATAATAAGATACGGATTTTTTAGTCTTCATCCCCAGCTCCTGGTCAGCGTTCCTAAAACCCTTTGTAAATTCATAAGCAATAAAGGTGCTAGGAACACCTTCTGTCCTAATATTTGGTCTTTGATCCTGGTTCTTGACACAGAGTTCCCCACACCCCTTGGAAGTTCCTGGGTGATAAGAACATCTTTTGTTACAATAAAGTGACTTGGTGGGTTCCTGGATGGCTTCAGGATGGGGAATGGTCATCAGGACCAAGCTTGGAACTTTCAGCCCTACTCTCATCCTCCAAGGAAGGAAGTAGGACTGGAGATTGAGTTACTAAACCATGATGCCTATGTGATGAAGCCTTGATTGAAATCCCTGAGCTAGCAGGTTCAGAGAGCTTCCGGGTTGGTGAACACATCTATGTGCCAGGAGAATGGTGTACGAAAACTCCACAGAGACAGAAGCTCTTGCTTTCAGGACACTTGTGGACCTCTTTGTGTATCTCTTCATCTGGCTATTCATCTACATCCTTAATCATATCCTTTATAAGATAATAAACCAGTAAATACAAGTGTTTTCCTGAGTCCTGTGAGCCATTATAGCAAATTATTAAACCTGAGGAGGGAGTTGGGGAACCCCTGATTTGTAGCCAAGTCAGACAGAAATGTGGATCCCCTGAGGTCTCACACTTGCTATTGGTATATGAAGGGAGAACAGTCTTGTGCTGCTAAGCCCTTAACCGGTGGGATCTGACTCCAGGTAGATGGTGTCTGAACTGAATGGAATCATAGAATACCCAGCTGGTGTTGGAGATTTGGTTGGTGTGAGAAAAAAATCCACACATTTGGTGACCAGAAGTATTGATGCAAATAGTAGTAAAAGGAAACAGTAGAGGAAACATTTGTGTTTTTTCCTTTTCATTAGATAAGGACTTTTCAGGAATTAAAATATTTAAAGTTGCTTGTCAAGGATTAAGGCTGGGGCATGGGAGTCGGGACAGGCAGTCTTACCAAAAGAAGGGCAAAACTGATAGAAGATGTGTTTATAGAATAGGAAATCAATCTTTAGACTGACATTCATTTAGAAAAATCACAGCGAAGATAATAAGTAACTTAGGAATCACAAGCAAAACATTTTTCACACATCCGTAAATTGTGTCTTAAGAATGAAACTAGGGGGACACCTGGGTGGCTCAGTGAGCCAAAGCATCTGCCTTTGGCTCAGGGCGTGATCCCGGGGTCCTGGGATCAAGTCCAGCATCAGGCACCCCACAAGGAGCCTGCTCCTCCCTCTCCCTGTGTCTCTGCTTCTCTCTCTGTGTCTCTCGTGAATAAATAAATAAAATTAAAAAAAAAGAAATTAGGGGCACCTTGGTGGCTTAGTCAATTAAGCGTCTGCCTTCAGCTCAGGTCATGATCCCAGGGTCATGGGATCAAGTGCAAGTTGGGCTCCCACTTAGCAGGGAGTCTGCTTCTCCCTTTGCCCCTCACCCTGCTTGTGATCTCTCTCTCTCTCTCTTTCTCTCTCTCAAGTAAATAAATAAAATCTTTTTTAAAAAGGCATATAATTATAACTGTAAATTTTAACAGAATTATAGGCTGAAGCAAAAAGATGATGGGCCATTTTCATCATTCTTTGGCAGAAAAGAAACTGCATGGCTTTGGAATTGTTCTGTCATTCAGTTATAGGAGATGCTGAAACAGATGGAACAGCAGCTATTACCCATAGCATATGGCTTGATTTTTTTTAAAAATGACTTAATCTTGTATATGTTGGGTAACAATACTAATAATACCAATAATATCACTTGGTAGGATAAGCTCACACCCACTGATTGATTAACAGAGAAAGTAATTCATTTGCTAGACTTGCTGGAGAAGTAACCAAAATGAAAGATCTTGAGAGAACAACTTTTTCTTTTTTTTAAGAGAGAGAGAAAGCAAGCACATGAACGCTCATGAGGGAGGCAGGGAGAAGCAGAGGGAGAAAGAAAGAGAATCATAAGCAGGCTCCACCTCAGCGTAGAGCCCGACACAGGGCTCGATCCCATTACCCTGATCATGACCTGAGCTGAAATCAAGAGTCGGGCGCTTAACTGACTGAGCCACCACCCAGGTACCCCAGGGAGCAACTTTTTCTTGAATTATGCCTGTTTCAGAATTCCTCCTCTCATTCTTCTCCAGGGAAGACATTGAAACTGCTGTGCACACAATAAAATCTAGATGCAGATGGAAATGTAGAGAAGACTTTATTCTGACACCCAATTCTGTTACTCCATTTCCACACCTGCCTATCCAAGGTTTTAAAAAGCACACATTTGTATGAGAACAAAAATTTGCTTTCCTTATGAAAATATTCCAACAGTACAAAACTCCATTGGTAGACGGCTCCCATGAAATAGCACTTCATCAGCAGCCCAATCTTCAAGTTGGGAGGTGAAAAGGAAATAAGCAGTATCTGAATTACTAGAGAAGAGAAAGGATTAATCATTTGGAATCAGCGTGCCAACATTGGACCCCATGCCAGCCAGGGGACACTAAAGTGAGCTTTCTCTGCCACCCAAACTCAGTTGAAAGTGAGCATCTAGGGACACCTGGGGGGCTCAGCAGTTGAGCCTCCGCTTTGGCTCAGGGTGTGATCCCAGGGTCCTGGGATTTTTAAGAATCTTACAAAAAAAAAAAAAAAAAGGAAAAAAGTCACAGTTTTAGATAGGTAGTCATTCATTTTTGTGACAGGTACCCAGAGCCTCCTCTCAACATGTAAGTTCGTGCTTTCTAGGTTGGGGAAATTCACTTTATTTCTTTGATGACCTCCTCTTCCGTTTTCTCTTTCAGGAACTACCATTATCTGGATGTTGGGCTTTTTCTGGGGAACAGCACACCATGGCCTATGCTGGAGAAATCCGTTAAAATCCAAACTCGAGGTTCTATGTTTCTCTCAAATTTTTCCTTATTTGTTGGGGGGGAAAAAAACTCTTCTACAAAAAAGAAGCAGCAAGGTGAGTGGGAGGGGGTGGGTGGAAATGTAGGCTGGAGTCAGCCCCATTCTCTTCCAGGGACTCCCTCTGTTCGCACCTGCTAGCAGAAAGCGAAACGGGCCCCCACCACACAGCCCACCTTCCTTTCTTTGCTTTGCCATTCACCGCTGAGTGATCTCGGGCAGGCCACGTCAGTCTCTGGGTCACTGTCTCCTCATCAGGAAAAGAAAATGTGAAAAATAATATGTGTCCAGGCTACTGAAAGGATAGGATCTCCTATTATTTTCAGGTGAGCTGTGAAAACTTGGGAGAGTAGGGACTTGGAACCAGCCAAGCTTGGGTGGTGGGGGAGGAATTTTTATGGCCATAACAGTGGAGTTGTAGGTTTTTATTTTATTTTTTATAGATTTTACTTATTTATTCATGAGAGACACAGAGAAAGAGGCAGAGACATAGGCAGAGGGAGAAGCAGGCTCCCTGCAGGGAGCCCGAGCCTGGACTCAATCCCAGGACCCCAGGATCATGACCCAAGCCAAAGGCAATGCTCAACTACTGAGTCACCAAGGCGTCCCTGGAGTTGTAGTTTTAAAACTGTGTGTGTGTGTGTGTGTGTGTGTGTGTCACTCTCCAGTGTTCTTCTAGTTTCTGAGAGGGCTCAGCCTCAAGGGACAATCACCAAGAGGTAGGTTTTCAATGTGACAATTGAACAGCCCCCTCCCTTGATGGCAGGATCCGAGGGCTTGGACTGGCTAGGGCATTAATCATGTCCCTTGTAAGTAAAAATAAGGTCAGCCCCTCACAGTTCCAGAGGCTTCGATGTGGGGCTCAGAATTCCGGCCTGGTTTTGGCATAAGCTCTGCATTTCCTGGTTTGAGATCAAAGGCTCTTGACTATCATTTTGACTGTAAGGGCATGGCCTTTGTAGGTTCTCTGTTGGGATGATGGGGATGACCCACAGCGTGGTGAAGCTTCCTTCCCCCACCCTGGGTGCACGTCACACTGGGCAACCTCAACTTCCCAAAGGTCTGGTGTGGACCTGCCCTCCCTCACGGTAAAGCCCTCCACGGGGGCACTTAACCCGTGCTTGGCCTTATCATCTCGTCTGGCCTTGGGTAAATCAACCTACCTCTTGCAATTGTTTAACCCAACCATCCCTGTCATTCCTCATTCTGGCCTTTAAAAAAAATTAATCAAGTTGTTCCCTTTATTCCATATTATTTTGTCTCTCCACATTCAGAATTTTCACATGCTATTTCTAGGCTTCTGGTGGTTCCCTCCCAAGTTTACCAAACACACTTAGCCAAAAATCTTACCATCTTCCTCCTCTCCCCATTTCTCCCTCTCTGAAGTCTCACAGAGATCTTCAGAATATTTAACTCCGGGTGGCGGGGCGTGGTGGAAATATTTTGAGTTTATCGATATGGTGACCACTTACTTGCCTACTGTTTTTTTCTTGCATCTCATACCATCCTGTTGGCATCATTTTCTTCCTTGAAGCTTGTTCTTTACAATAGTTCTCTTGGTGGTTAGTGTTCTCAATTTTGCATCCTGTTGATATTTTGTCCTCATTCTGGAAGAGCTCTTTTGCGGAGCCCACAAACCTAGGTGGGCAGCTTTTCTTGCTCGACCCATTATGGTCTGTCTCCCAGCTCCCATTGCTCTGCAGAGAAGCTGGCCTCCTTCTAGCTGTCCTTTTCAATGGATCTGTATTTACTCTCTGGTGGCTTTCAAGGTCTTCTTCTCTGCCTTTGATGTCTTGCCATTTCAATACACTGTGTCTAGGCGTGGATTTATATTTAATTTATCCTGCTTCTCGAATGTTCTGCGCCCTGGATCTGTGGCTTCATGTGGGTTTTGCATCATTTCTGGAATCTCTTCAATATCGATCACCGCTGTTCCATTTTATCTTTATTCTCCTTCCAGAATTCCAATCAGACATAATAGGGCCTTAGTCTGTCTTTGATGCTTTTAATTTCCCATTTGTTTTCCCCATATTCCTATATATTTTTGCTGCGCTCTGAATAAATACTCTTTCAATGTGTCTCGTGATGTTTAATTTAGTGAATGTGATTTTCATTGCAGTGGTAACACTTTTTTATTTCTAGAATTTCCATGTCTTCGGGATTCAGATCTGCCTGTCATTTCTATGGTCCTTCAATTGTAATTGTATCCTTGCTGGGAAGAAGACAGGAGGGGCCAAAGAATTTCCATTCACAATGGGAATTTAGAAATCCTCAGAACTAAATGATGGTGTAAACGCCACATCTTAAAACTTGCACAGTGTGGCACATGGGATGTTCAGAGACTTTTCTACCTGAAACACTTGCCTCAGAAAAGAAGAAAAGCTGAAAATTAATGAGGTGAGACTCCCCTCCAGGAAATTAGAACAGAAAACCTGAAGAAATTAGAAGGAGGTTCATAAAGATATGGGTAGAGATTAATGAAATAGGAAACAAAGAAAAAGGTAATGAACAAAGCCAGAAGTTGGTTCTTGTGGAAGAATAATCTATACGCTCACTGCCTTACGTGCACAATTGAGTTTTTACCTCATTATTCTACTGATGTTGCTCCAGCAAAGGAAGTTCTAATGATTTCCTACAGACCAGAACTGAAAGAACCTTGGTAGTCCGCATCTCCTTGGCCTTCTGCGTGGCCATGGGTGCTTCTGACTAGGCCTTCAAGTCCAGATCCAGCTGTCTTCTTGGTGTCTCCACTCAGATACTTCTAACAGGCATTTTAAACTTGGTACATCCAAACCTGAGTCCCTGAAGTCCCTGCCCCCAGCCTTCCTCCTTACTTCCCTATATCAGAAAGGTCAACTCTATTTTTTGTTCTTCAAATCGAAAATACACCGTAAGTCCTCCTTGTTTCCCTCCTTGACCTTTTACAGCCACAACAATCTCATCAATACTCAAGTCAAATTATCTGAGTCCCTGCCCAAATACTCCCGTGGCCTCCCATCACCCTTAGAATACAACCCAAACTCCTTACATGGGCCTTTCCTGTCCTGACCCCTGCTTGCCTCTCCACCCCCCATTCCCCTCATTCACAAAGCTCCTGACACCTGGTCACAGATCATGTTCCTACCCCAGGACCTTTGTGCTTATCAGTTCTCTCTGCCTGGAATACTCATCCCCCAGAGCTCACTCTACCACTTGATTCAGGTCTTCCTTCAAATGTCTCCACCTCACAGAGGACTCCTCCAATGCTGTACTTGAAATGGAACCCACAGGGGGCGCTCAGGTGGCTCAGTCAGTTAAGCATCTGCCTTTGGCTCAGGTCATGATCTCAGGGTCCTGGGATTGAGAGCCCTGCATCAGGCTCTGGGTTCAGCGAGGAGTCTGATTCTCCCTCTCCTTCTGTTCTCCCTCACTCTCTCTCAAATAAATAAAATCTTTAAAAACTAATAATAAAACAATGAAACACACAGGCCTCCCCTGTGTGCCCTGGCTCTGTGTCTCCTGTGCCTTATCTTATTTTAATTTATAACACTCACCATCGCCGACATGGCAATCTGTTCAGGCCTCCATCGGTTGGTGTCTCTCGCCCATGTCCACCTACTGGAATGCATACAAGCGCTTGGGACTTGATCTGTGCTGCTCACCTCTGTACTCTCAAGTCCAGCCCAGTGCCTCGGAGCTTAATAAATATTTGCTGAATGTGTACATGAATGATTAAGTAAGTGAATAAATAGACATGGCTGGGTTGGGACAGAGAGACAGGTGTGGGGCGGAGGGGATGTTTTAACTCTCTGATGCCACCTCCTCCAGAAAGCTTTCCCGATTCCCAGCTGTGTGATCCCACCTCCACTGTCCACAGCATGTCCTGTCTTTTCATGGCACTTATTTAACCTTGCAGTTTGGATATGTTTAGACTGTGATCTTCTTGAAAACACGGACGAATCTCATTCACCCCTGCACCCCTGGTGCCCGGACCCCTGGTGCCCAGCCCCATACCTGCCATCTAGAAGAGCTGCTCACTCAGCACTTGCTGAGTTGAATTAAACCCATACTAGTTACGCTAACTCTACTGAAAAATATCTTTGGCCTAAGTGTTTGCCGGGTCACCTTTGCCAAAACAAATCAGATCTAACATTTATTGACAAAAAGACTAGATGGAATAAAGAAAGCCCTTTCCAGAGTGATTCTCCTTTTTTTAAAAAAAAATTTTATTGGAGTTCAATTTGCCAACATTTAGCATAACACCCAGTGCTCATCCTGCCAAGTGCCCCCCTCAGTGCCCATCACTCAGTCACCCCCAACCCCCCGCCCACCTTCCTTTCCACTACCCCTTGTTCGTTTCCCAGATTAGGGGGTCTCTCATATTTTGTCTCCCTCTCTGATATTTTCACCCATTTCTTCTCCCTTCCCTTCTATTCCCTTTCACTATTATTCATATTCCCCAAATGAATGAGACCATATAATGTTTGTCCTTCTCCGACTGACTTACTTCACTCAGCATAATACCCTCCAGTTCCATCCACGTGGAAGCAAATGGTGGGTATTTGTCGTTTCTAATGGCTGAGGAATATTCCATTGTATACATAGACCACAGAGTGATTCTCCTGATTCAAATCATCCAGAGAGCAAAGAAGAAAATGACAATATAGTGACAGGTCCTTGGGGCCAGAGACTAAATATAACAATTTCTGTAAACCCTCCACTAACTCAGCACTAATGATTACAGAATGTGCTTTGTAAATAAACAAATGTTGCATGAATGAATCTGGCAAAAGCTTCCTCTCTCTCTCTCTCTCTCTTGTTTCCTACGAGCAAACTATCTCCAATGACAGTCTCCAGGACCCCTTCAAGTTAGATTAAAAAAAAAAAAAAAAAAGAATTCTAGCTCCTTTTTAAGTGGAGGCTGTCGGTTCTTAAGGCCAAGGTGAGAGCTAAGGGAAGCTGCTCCCGCCCTGTGGCAAAGGGGTGCTGGGTGGCTTCGCCCGTTGCATCCTCTACTCTCCTGATGTTGCTGGGAATCAGGAGGTTGCTGGGAATCAGGAGGTCTCTTCACAAGCCTCCCTATCTTGCTTCTTAGTGGACTATGCTGGTGGCTGGTCAGCGAGCACCTGCTGTGGGCTCTTGGGAGTGCTAGTGGGGGACCTGTCCAGATGCCCCCCTGGTGGGGAGCAACCCAGGGGAAGCTGAGCTGATCTTGACCTGAGCTGGGCTGCGGGGGGAATGGGGGGCGGAAGAAGAAGGAAAGGACTAGAGCAAGGGAGGAGTAGCCTGTGCCCTACAAATCACAGATGTTTGCCAAGTGGGAAAACACCCAACCCTCGGACTATTTCATTTTTCATTTTTTAGAAATATTTCATCAGAGGAGTCAAATGAAACAATCCCCAAGGGAGCCAGGTGTGCCCTGCTTCCCTCCATCCTGCAGGCTACCTTTCCCCTGCACTTGGTCCAAAGGGCACCAGGCCCTGAATGCCCGGGGCAAACTGCACTCTGTTGCGTCACACTGGTGCCCTTTTCAAGAGAATATCCTTGACATGCCTGGGAGGCCTCCAGCAGTCTCCTGTCTTCTGCTCATTTCAGAGCTCCTTGAGGACCTCGTGGTGCACAGCTTGGCTTCTGGGAGGCACCTTGGGGCCTCCCGCTCTGCCGCTGCTCCCTCTGGGCCCCAAAGTAGAAGCCTGGCTAAGTGAGCTCATGGTTGGGTGCACATCCCCATGGGCAGCCCAGAGCTCCAGCGGGACTCACCTCACCTGGGCAGCAGGCTTGGACCAGGCTGCAGAAGGGGCCCACTCAGCTCTGAAGGAAACAGCAAGATCCCTGCGACTTTCCTGATGGGCCCTGGCTCGGGGGTGGCCAGTGGGGGCTGGGGGAGGTTGGCTTCATGCTGTGAGCTAAGGTGGTCGGGGTGGGCTTGCAGGCAGGATCTGTCATCAGCAAGGTGGAATTGCCTAGGGTTAGCAGTATGCGCTCTCTCCTCAAAGGACCACGGGGAAGCTACTTTGGCTCTCCGAGCCTCAGTTTCCTCATCTGAAAACAGGAGTGACCATAGGACCTACCCCATGCTTTGTTAGGAGGATTACACAAGATGATTCTTGGGATGTGATCATTGGGGCTCCTGGCATTTCGGAAGAGCTCGAATACAAAGGTGTTACTGTCAAGCTGACTCACGGGAGCCTGAGTTGCAGAGGGACTGTGTGCAGCCACCCTCACCTGTAAAAGCCCCGGGACGTGGGGGTCTGTTGAGCAAGGCTGGAGCCAAGCAGCGGGCCTGGAGTGAAGCCCTGACCCCTCGGCCCGGCCTTGTGATGCCGGGTGGGCCAAGCTGCTGGATCTCCACAACCCTCCAGTTAGAGGTGTATTATTAGCCCATTTTTCACATGAGAAGATTGAGCCTTCAGGAGGGTAGCTCCCTGGTCCCGGCCACACAGTGGACGCGCCCCAGACCCGGGATTCGAACCTCGAGGGTTTGACTTTTATAGACCGTCCGTCTTTCCTCCTGTTGCTGCTTGCCGGCACCCACACAGCCTTCCAAGTTGTCGGGAATCCCGTGAGACATGAATCTCGGTGAGCAAAGCTCCTTCTCCCTGCTGGCCAGAGGGAGCAACTGGACCCCACGCCATTGGTGACACTACACGTCCAACCTCGTGGAGGGTGCAAAGCAAGGAGCCACTAAGCACGGGTGGCGATGGTCCTGTGGTGCAGGCTGTGTCTGCCAGTGGCCTCCCGGCCTGGGGGTTTCCGTGGCCTGGTTCCTGAACCCCTGATTCCTACCCGTCATCCGAGACCGTGCCCCCAGCTTTCTGCCGACGGTCCGCATCCCTGGCTATCCCTGTCCCTCCGCCTAAGCAGCCACAGCTGGCTCCTGCCCCTTGCACTGAAGCACAGTGACAGACCCAGGCCCCCAGCCCCGTCAGGTGGCTCTTGCAGGACTTCTGCCTGCCTTGGTGAGGAAGTGGGTCCTGCTTTGGGCCCTACCCACAGGGCAGGAGTTTAGTAGGCTGCCTTTGACCTCATCCTTTCTGGCTTGAAATACCTTTTGCCTTTGCTACACGCAGGAGTATGGGGGTTCCTGCTGGACCCCGTCATCTGCTGAGCTTCACTGCAGTCAAGAGACATTGGGATTCCAGGATTCCGGCCCAGGGGAGGGTTAGGAGCTAGCCAAGGACCTCAACCCAGCCCCGTGACCAATCCCCTTCCCCCCTCATTGCCTCCCACTGTCCCGCACCCACATACCCGCTCCCTCGTCCTCTCCTCCCTCCCCCACACTGCCCGTCCCTGTCCCTCGGGCTCCCACTGAGCTGGCCATGCTGGCCGGGCAAGTGTGAGATATGAAGCCGGGAAGGTGCACGAGAAAGGCTAGGAAAACGGGCACGGAGCTGAAGGCTGCCCTGGGAGCACGGAGAGCCCCTAGGACACAAGGTCAGACATGAGACCCCAGGGTGCCCCCAGCTTTCAGCTCCCGGAGGCAGTGCCACGGGGGCTTGAGGGGCGTTGTGGCTTCCCCTCCCCTCCTCCTTGCACCAGGGGGGCCTTCTGCTTCCTGAGGGGCTGCAGGCTTGTGAGCGCGGGGACCAGCCAGCCTCCAGGTCCTGCGCGCATCCATCCTCACCTGGGCCTCAGGGAGCACAGATGGGCTGCCCTTCCCTGGCCTCAGGGTGTAAGGAGAGGCCCTGCCTCGACCTGTCCCTTCCAGGTTCAGTGGGGCGCCCAGCCATTTCCCACAAGGGCAGAGAGGCCAGAGGGGGAACCCAAAGCACAGGGAATGCAGGTGGCTGGCTGCGTGTGTCGCCTCCCTCCAGCCCGGCTGGCTGAGGAGCTCAGGGGCAGAGGTGGCCTTGAGTGTGTGGGCCTGACTTCTTTGGGTTCACGTCTCCTAGACTGGGAGACTCTCACGAGCCTCCTCCACTGGCTGTCAGTTCTTAAACACTTTCATTATTCATTTTTTAAAGATTTTATTTCTCTATCCACGAGAGACACACACACACACACACAGAGAGGCAGAGACACAGGCAGGGGGAGAAGCAGGTTCCATGCAGGGAGCCCCACGCGGGACTCGATCCCAGGATCACACCCTGACCCAAAAACAGATGTTCCACCACTAAGCCTCCCAGACATCTCAGTTCTTTAATGCTTTTTAAAAAGATTTTTCTTTCCTTCTTGAAAATTGCACTTGGGTTTTCGAATGCTCAGCGGCCAGAGGCGGGGAGATAAGTTGGTGCCGTAAGACGATAAAATGGGGTGGTTGCCCTCTTGCCCCCTATTCCCCCTTTGCTGTGCAACTATTTCTTACACTTTTTCTTGTCTCCTTTCTCCTTAAATCCCAACACCTCCGACCCACTCCCACCCCCACCCGCACTCTGTCGGTGGCCTGGGGTCCCGCTCACCGGGCAAACAGAGGCAGGCAGGGCACAGCCCCGCAGCCCCGGCCCCCGGGCCCTCCCCGCCCCGCGCCCCTGTGGTAGCAGCGCCACCGCACCCCGTGCCCAGCCAGCGCCTGGCCCCAGGGGCCCTCCTGCCTCCCGCAGCACCAGATTCCCCCTCCCCCTCCACCAGGATGTTCCATGGGAGCACCCAACAAGCCGCAGGGTCTCCTTCTCCAAGGAGAGTCTGTCCTGCATCCCGCACCCCTTTATGTCCGACTATCGCCTGGTTTGGGGGCTCC